AATGAAAGAAAAAGTAAAAAAAAAAAAAAAAAAAGCTTATTTACATACAATTATGATCAGATAATTTGATATATTTTTAAAAATATAAACTCTTTGTACTGTTTTTTTTATTTAGTCCATTATTTATTGATATTCCATAATTAAGTGGATTTGAAAGAGGAAATAGTAGTGGCTTTTGGTCTACTATATCCTGGTATTGCAGGAAATGTGAAGGTGCTTTTGAAAGTAAGCAAGTTACTGAGACCTGAAGTCTTTGGAAAAGGGAACAAGTTATGATAGCTATTAAGTAGGTTGGAGATGGAGCTGAGCCTCTCAGACCTGTGCAGGAGAGCACAGGGAGAGTTGTTTCAGTGGAGTGAAAAAGGCAGACTCTGGTTTGCTGGAGATTTAGCACCTGAAGCAGTATTAGTAGACAGTTCAGTTGGAGGAGGAGTTACCGTCACATGTTTCTTTTCTTTCACATGTTTGGGAAACCAGCTTGCTTGAAAGAAACCAAATGAACAAGAGGGAGAAAAACAATGAGGCATATGAGGAAGAATAGAGATGAAGAAAATTCAGTGTCAGCCAGATGAATAATTGGCAGGGATGTCAAGTCAAATGTTTTCAGTGTTTACTTTGGAACAATTAGATGGAGGAGGTCTTATAGATTAAAAGGGAAACTACAATTTTGGATACTGACATAAGTTTAATTAAAGGAAACCAAAGAAAAGTAAAGCCACTAGTCTTGTTTAGTGGTGTCTGGGTAGTGCCACTGTGTAGAGACTAGTGTTTTCTTGCCTTTGTAGCCTGCTACATCTCAAAATAGCATTTGCTTATTTTACGTTAAAGTTAGTATGCCTAAAACAATTGTATAAGAATATATATTTGCAAGATAATGTCTAACTAGTTCATAAATGCTATAAGGTGCCTTTTCTCTTAATGCTTTATAACAGGAAGTGGATTTGATCAGGGGACAGGTGCAGCAGCTCATCTCGTTGCCAATGTGGATGGGATTACAGCCTGTAAGTACATCATCGTAAAAATGATAAAATTGCCTTCCCATCAGCATACCAGGCCAGGTGGGGAGCTGCTCAAGCCTGCATGCCCCCATGATGAGCACAGGTTCCTCAGGCAGGGGCATACAGGCAGTGAATAGTGGCTTTGTCCCGGCTTCACCCCGTGCTGTCACCACCGCAAGAGCTCGGCCCCAAAGCAGCTCTCCACCTGGTGACATGTTCGGCCTGCACTGTTCCTGGCTGGTCTCCATGGGGACCCCAGGATCATGGGGGTTGTGCCAGCCTGGGGCACAGCCCCAGATCTGCAGCTGCACATTGTGATGGCCCTGTGCTGTCACACATCTGCATTTCCGGGGTCTCCGTGGAGACTGGCTGGGAGCTGGGGCTGCTGGCAAATGGAGTCGGGCTGCTGGCCATATCCACCATTTTGCCCACCCCTGTTGTAGGAGGTGTCATATATTTAAGGTTGCTTAGAACTTTCCATTTTTTAGACCTAATTTTCAGTTGTTTATAACCTTTAAATTCTAACCATTTGGGATGAGTTGTTCTTTGCTGGTTGTCTACAGATGCCTCGTGCTGATTTTGTTTGTTTGTTTGATTTGGCAAAACATTTAATGGTTTGTCAGAAAAGGTTTGCGTTCTAATTGCATTTCATTGACAAGCTGTAGTATTTCTATACTTCAGAACAGAAACTTGAAATTTAGCAATGTTGGGGCCATTACATGAGTGATATGCTTTTTTCTATTTCTGTAACAAGTCCACCAAATCTGACAAAGTTCAAATCTGAAAATCCCAGTTGACATGTATTCAATATGGCTTTTAAGGAGGCAGCTAAATTCCGTGAAGACTCTATCTATAATACATGTTCCAGACTTACATTATAGGTGTTGAACAGGACTTCCCTGCAGTTGAGGGGATTTCTGTGGCATAGGAACAGGGAGCAAATTGCTCCTTTCCTGGTGCTAATTTGAATGTAGAGGGTGTCTTGAATGTCTTGGGCCTCTAGCACACATTTTAAGATGCAATTAACATGTGAATTGCATCATAAATAGTACCTGTGGTACATGTGTTGATTTATGGTGCCATGCAATGGCAAAACACTACAAAGATGTTCTATAAAAGATGAGGAACATCTTTGCAGCTCATTTATATGGCACCCCAGTTTTAATTTGTGGCATGCTCCTATTCATACTGACAGTAAGTCCTAAGATCCACTGGTGAAGTGTATACTATTTCCCTATTGTGGTCTTCACAAAGAAGACAACCACCTACTGTTAACACATGGTAAGTCAATTGGTACCTCAATTGCCAAAGGTCTTTTTGTAACCCATATTACCCAGATGTTGACTCATTTCAAAGCCATTATGTTTTCACGTGATGGAATTTGGATTTTTAAAAGTTAGCTTTTTAAAGTTAGATTTTTAAAAACCTAGGAAATTACATGAAAAAATGTGAGTTTGCAAAATTAAGTTTACTGAAGTTAGGCAATGCCAGGACTAAGGGTATCCCTGCAATTTAATTCAGCCTCTGGGAAGGTGGTGCACAAGCTCATAGTATGCTTAGGGGATCACTTTTTTTTAAATAGGTTTTTTTATTGGTTTTAGTTATTCATATGTAATATTTTGTAACTTTTACATGCATATTGAGCTTATATGTGTATTGCAAGCCAATGTTTGTTTTATACAAAACGTGGCGGTACGTATCTAGTCTACCTGGTCTACGTGTTGTTTCTAATGATTATTCTTAAGGTTAATGTTATCGATAATTTATTTTTATAAATTCTCTGTATGTTGCTTTTCCCAGAATCTATGCATTGATTAATTTACCTTAATGATGTTTCACTGTTATAATTTTGCTTGTAATGAGTGATCTATCCTGGCTTCCATTTGATTGTTTTTTCATGGTTTCCAGGAAAAACTGGTTTGCTTCAATTGCTTATTTTGAATATTTTTTAATGTAAACCATTTTTGCTGGAGACTAAGAAAATATAATGGGAAGGATTTTTTCTTAATGAAATTAAAAATCACTCTAAAAGAAGGAAAATCACTTAAAATGCAGCTTTTTGATATTTAATTAAGAAACTAAGGAATTTGTGGATTTCACTGCTGTCAAGTTTTTAATGAAGGGAATGAAAGAAAGGTGTTTTTCTTTTCATTTTCCAGTTTGTTTTTTTTAACAGATGAGTTTTTTACTTTTTTATCAATAGTGCTATGTTCTACATACTACACAAAGATGTTAATATGGTTATCTTAAAGCAGGGGTGGGCAAAATGCGGTCTGGGGGCTGGATGCAGCCTGCCAGGCCATTCTGTATGGCCCATGGGGCCCCTAAAAAAATTTAGAAAATTAATATCTATCTGCCCTGGGCTGCCTGTCATGCGGCCCTTGATGGCTTGCCCAAACTCAGTAAGGGGTCCTCTGCCCAAAATAATTGCCCTCCCTTGTCTTAAAGGGACCTAGAGGTTGTTAATTGGTGTTGCATGTCTAGGCAAGAACTATTATAACTTCTGTTGCAAGTGATATTTGTGAGTAGTCTTGGAGTCCAGTTATGTTGGCTGCTGCTCTAGGGGTTTTTGTTTTTGTTTACTTTTATTGTGTATATTTACATACTTTTTTCTTTACAGAAAGATATAATTAGATTTTTATTCCATGCAATAGAAGTGAGTTCTTTGTGGCTGAATACTATTTCAACTTTTCAGGCACGCCTGGAACAGGAATTGAAAAAGACACCAAAACTTAGAAAATTTTGGAATCTTATCAAGAAGAATGATGAGAAAATGGATGAAAAGACACGAATACAGTATGTTCTGGAAACTTTTCATGTTCACTTGAAAACATACGGTCTGTTGACTTTTGTCTGGCTTTGAAGGTGAACCTGTTTGAGTTGGATAGAAATAAAAGTAACAAATCAACATTTGATAGTGTGCTGTTTCTGGGCATAGCAGTCCAGCAGATACTAGTATTTGGCTTAATTATCATGTTGCAACCAGAAGTTAAACTATTTGGTTTAAAAAGTCCTTAAGATAAAAGACAAGTCCCTTTTTGATTTACCTTAGGGTTGTTGGTTGTAGCCATTTTGGTCTAAGGACATGGGCAGACAAGGTTCTTTGGATAGATGTGATGGTCTAATAAAAGACGTCCCGTCTACCCAAAGAACCGTGTCTGCCTATGTGATTTACCTGTAATTTTTGTTCACATGCTTTAAAATAGAAAATACAGTGGTTACAAATAATGATTTATTTAGACAAACATATACAACTAATGATCAGCCATCAGCATTGCCCAGTGCTGCTGAATCCTGTCACTGCTGGGACGTGGCAACATTTAATTTGGTAGCACCTACCCCCACAGTTCTCATGAGGCCAAACCCTTGAGCCAGAACTAATTGCCTCTCCAATCCCTGTCACCCTGACTTATGTCACTGGTACCCCTTTAATTGAGCATCCAGGATTCTTGGTTTGCTTGTGGCACATATACTGTGTGTTAGCCACCACTGCTGTAGAGCTTCTAAAAGTTTAAATTCCCTATCAGCTTCTACAGTGTCTAGGCCTTTTAGTAGGCCCTAGGTTGCCTTCGAAGAGCAAGTTAGCATGAGTCAGGCTAACAAGCAGGGTGGATTTGATTTAAATCAAAACATTTTAAATCGCTGGCCAGGAAGTTTCAATTTAATCATTGTTTTCTTTAAAAAGTGCGTTCTTGTCTGTTATCTTCTATTCATTTAAATTCTTGAAACTGTACTTTTAGAGAAAGGTAAGGGTTTGACTTTGTGTACACAAAATTGCAGAGAGACAATAGAGCTAATTGGGTAGGTAATCAGCAGGGATCCTTGTTTTTCCTGATTTAAAAAAAAAAAAATCACAAATCCTGCCCCTACGCCCCCCTGCTGCCTGCTGTGGGCTCAAGCAGGGTAGCTTCCTGCCACTGTGCACACGCCTGGGCGCAGGGGGGGCCTGCACCACCCAGATCTGTATGCAGGGTAGGTGCAGGCTGTGGGCTGAGGCTCCCGCCCTGCTTCCCTCCCCCAGAGCTCTGCTCTGCCCTGGCAATGTGCCTCCTGTGCGTGCCACTGCGTTGAGGGGAGCAAACCCATGCTGCTGCTCTCACTACAGGCCAGCACCAGGGCAGCGTGGAGCTCGCAGCAGTGAGCAGCTTCTCCGTGTGGCTCCGCTGCTCCCTGCTGCACTGGGGTTACGCCTGCCAGGTTGTGGAGGCCCTGGGGAAGGGAAGCAGTGCGGAGCTTGCAGTGGCAAGCAGCTTCTGTGTCCAGGCCCACTGTTTCCTGATGCCCTGCTTCCCTCCCCCAGGGCCTCCGCAGCCCATCAGGCACAACCTGGCATGGCAAAGAGCAGAAGAGCTGCACAGAGAAGCTGCTGGTTGCTGTGAGCTCCGCGCTGCCCTGACAATGAATGCCCTGAGTGCAGGGCTGCAGTGAGACCAGCAGTGTGGGGTTGCACCCCTCAAAGCAGTGGCATGCGCAGGTGGCTCGTCGCCAGGGCAGTGTGGAGTTCTCAGCGGCGAGGAGATCCCTGGTAGCCCCGCTGTGCCCTACAGCGCTGTGTTGTGCCCACTGCACTGTGGAGGTCCTAGGGAAGCAGGGCAGGAGCTCAAGCCTGCAGCCCTTTCCTGTGCAGTGTACAGATCTATGGGGCTGTTCCTCCTGCCCCTGGGAGTGCACATGGCAGTGGGGAGCTGGCCCTCCCCCTTCCCTGGATGAGCACCCGCAGCCCCATCCTGCTCCCCACTGATGCCCTGCAGCTGTGCATTGCGGCCCTGGGCCCAAAGCACTGCCAGGCTGGGCAGCATCCCCAGCCCTGCCCAGCTCTCTCCCTCCCTCCCTCCCTACAGGGGCCTCGGTCCCCCTCTCCCTCCCCCAATACCTGCTTGAGCTGCTCTGCAGGCTGCCTGGGGCCATGTGCATGTTTATGCACACGGTGCCCCCTGTCTCACGCCTTCCTCCTGCTCTCTGCCAGCCGGCAGGGGAGCTCATTGCAAAATCTGCGGGCAGGGCCATCCAGGGTGGGGGGGGCGGGCGGCATTTGGGGCAACTGCCCTGGGCCCTGGTCTTTGGGTGGCGCTGCGGAGTTGAGCAGAGTGGCCATGGTGAATCTGTACTGCCAGTGGACAAGCTGATTTACCCTGGGCCCTACACCTTGCTTGGGTCAGCTCTGTCCATGGGTTTCTCTGGTAAATCAAGAAATCCATGTTTGACTTTGGTAAAAGGCAAAATCTGTGGTTTACTGTTTTTCCATGGGAAACAGAAAACCTGAATCCCTGATAATCGGGTGTTTCATCTCCATATACTACTGTTAACAAGGATGTTATCTCTGGAGACAACAAACTCTCCTTATTTCTGAAGAAGAGTGTTGTGCCCGAAAGCTGCAAAGAACAATTCTTCCAACTATTTAGTTGCTCTAATAAAAGGTACTACATCTACCCTTGTCTGCGTATGATCTCTGGAGACACAAATCCACAGTTTGAGAACTGAAACTAAGCATCACAGAGATGCTTAATGGGATTTTATAGAATCTAGATTGAGCACTGAGTCCCATTGGGTAGAGTGGGTTTCATTAATCTTTTACTAATCTATAGAGGAGCCTCTGGGAAGCCCATAAGATTGGGTCCCTTAATATAGTCAGTGGCCTGTTGTGACCTATTTATAAAACTTTTCTGAAAAGGTTACATGAATATATTGTCTCAAATAGTATATAATTAGAAGTCATAATCCCTATTCCATGATGAGGCCAGGAAGGTTCTTTGAGTAGATGTCTTTTATTAGACCAACTGAATATCCATGTTGTCTTTGAGGTTTAACATATCTTTAATTAAAACTATCTTTATATGTTTATTTTTTTCAAAAGCATCTTAAAAAAAAATCAAAACATAATTAAATAAAAAAAAATCTGATTTAAATAAATCAGTGTTTTTTATTTTAAAAAATTGTTAATTTTTATTCATCCTGCTAACAAGCAAGGTTAATGGAAGTAGCATTAAATGAAGTTGTAAGTTAAGGGAAAGGTCAAGTCTAAGTTAGTTAGATCAGCTCTTGGCCACCTAGATCAGCATTAGGTCAGTTGGCTTCATCTTGACTGCAGGGTGACTTAGGTGCATCCTTTTTACCATATTTGTGTTGTAATTTTTTTATTTAGGCACTTCATATGGTTCATGTTGTGTTGAGGGGATAACATTGTGTATTGCTTTAAGACAAGTTCCTCCTGAAGTGAACTCATGTTTAGGCTGAGGTTCCCTTCAGCTGATGTAAAAAGCTCCTTGCTTCTTTAGAACTTAGTCTCAAACTTGGGTAAAGCTGTCCCTAACACTGGCCACCCATTAGTGGCTTTTAATATTTTAGAACTTAGAAATTTGGCTTTTAAGATTCTTGTATTTAGGCTAAGTATTTTATTGGACTGTATAGATGGATACAGATAGATTCCTGTTTTAAATTATTTGTGTTGTCAGTATTCAGTTTTTTCTTTTAAAGTGTTTCTTGCATTTGTTCCTTTTGGGGGACTTTGTTCATTGGAGCAGCCTTTTTGAACTTCCTTCAATACCTGGGCCACCACTGGGCTAGGGGAGGGGTGGGGCAAGGAGGTACAGGCAATGTATCAACACATTCTGTAACACCTCATTACTATTCTGGTAATTGGTGAGTCATTTATATACAGTAAGTATACAAATGTTGCCTTTGCTACCAGGTTAGTCACTTTGGCACTAAAGAAAAATGATTTTTTGCTGTGCGTTTAAAAAAAAAAAAAAAAAAAAGGATATATTATTGCTAACATAAATCACAAAGCTTTGGGAAACTTTTACAAAAATGTTGACCATAGTAAATTGGTCAGCACTGGTCCCCACACAAATTAATCAGAATATCAGTTCCAGCACTGGTGTCTGTGTGGTAGAGTGTCTGCCTACCATGTGGGAGATCAGAGTTCAAGTCCCGTCTGGGTTGAGTAGGAGTGATTGCAATGACAGGGGGATAAATTCTTATGGATAGGCATCTGACTCCAGCACTCTCCTGCCTAGGCAGGGGGTTGGACTTTATGATCTGTTGAGGTCCCTTCCGACCCTAGCTAGCATCGATGAAACTGACCTTAAGAACTGAGTTAAGATCCTGTTATGCTGGTAGTAGATGTAATATTCTTTGGTTTGAATTTTTGTAATACTAATTTTGTCTCATTTTAGGGCATACCAAGAAAGAAGATTCCTTTCACAGCTCATCCAGAAATTTCTCTCTGTGCTAAAATCAATACCTGTCTCAGGTATGTGTCCACCTTTATGGATCCATGTGATTTAATTTAAAAAACATGTTACTTTGCAAAAGTTTCTTTCCACCTTTAATTACTCAATTAAGCAAAACATTTGAGTTCATTGCCTTGGAACTTAGTGATGAATTTCAGCATGTGCTTAGGTCTCATCCCTGACTAAACCATCCAGCCAAGTGTCTGTCCAACCTGCTCTTAAGAATTTCCAGGGATGGAGATCCCACAGCTTTTCCAGGTAGTGTGTTCTAATGCTTGACCACCATCATAGTCAGAAAGTTCCTCCTAATCTCCAACCTAAATTTCCTCTCCTCCAGGTTGAGTCTCTTGCTCCTAGTCCTGCCAGAGAGAAAATCTTCTTCATTAATAATCAGTAAATCATTAATAGCCCTGCACTGTACATCCTTCAGGATGCATCTTTTTTTCTTTAAAACAAAACAAAAACATGCAAATGCCTCAAGGCTAGGTTTTTTGGGGGGGTGGGGGTGGGAAAGAGGAAAAGGCTTTTTTTGTTTCATTTTAGTTTTTTTAGACTATTCTGGCCCCCTGTTTATTTTAGTTTGTCCCCTTGTCCCTTTTTACTTTGATAGGTTTTGTTTGTTTAGATTTATAATAAGTTATACTTTCAATCTGTTTGAATGATGCTTTTCTTGTGCACCCTTTGGCACTTCATCAGGGGATATTTAAGTAAACCATGATTCCTTCCTGTATTAGCATTGTGATGTAACTTGGGACGTGTCATTTAAGGCACCCTCTGGTGATAATCTGGAGTCACCAGGGTAGATGCAGGGAGATTTCATAGGGGCTAGGAGAAGGAATCTCACTGCACCTTTTAGGCATCCATACTGTATCTGTATAGTAGTGGGTGCATTTGGTTTGTTCCTTCTGGTAACCTGGTTGCTGTGAATAGTCTTGCAGTTGATTCTCTGTCAGCCCAGGAGGCTTACAGCTTGAGAAAATTTCAAATTTCTAAACTGACTGTTTCTACAACTGCAAAGACTATATTTTTAAAAAGCATACAAATTGACATGTCACTTTTGGAATATTCAGATTTTATACTATTTGAAAGCCAAGCCCTTTAAAGTCTGAAGGCAGACCATGAACATTTTTGAGTAGTCAGATCCCTTTATAGCATCTAAAATTGCCCACCCTTAAATTAAGGTACTTAATATTACTAGTGACTTCTGAAAATCCTATTCATGGGTGTTTCACCCAAAATCTACTCTTGTTATGGGCAAATGCTTCAGATCACTGGAATATTCAGCCTGTAATCTACTGTATTAATCTGATACACAATAGTAGCTAACAAGCCTGTCAGCTCCAGGTGTTTAGTTCTTGTTGAAATATTGGAAATATGTTGACAGTTTTTAAAACCTGTGGTGAAAATGTGTAATATTGAAGAATACAGGAGTTTCTGACTTCCTTTTCTTTTCTTGTGTTTAGGTCCTGTTTCCATGGACCAAGTTCATTACTGTGAAAGATTCATTGAACTCACGATAGACTTAGAGGTAAGAAACCCATAAAACAAAATGTTTGACCTCAAGCGGTCATTATTTTTGGAATGAGCAAATACTCAATGTTTACTTTCAACTCTTTGCTTCCAGACTGTTTCAGACAGATATGGGTTAAATTTCTGTCTAGTGAACATAATTTTCTTATGTCATATTACCAAAACTAGCCCACGGTAACTTAGCAAGTGTTGCCATATCCACTGAATAGTCCTGCAGAACTTGATCTTACCTACATTATAAGTCCTGGTTTGCACTGATGCAGTTTACCTCCATTTAGAAACTGGACTGACTGAACCTGTGCAAGTAGTTGCTTGCCTGTTTGTAATTAGGAGTTCGTGCAAGTGAGACTTGCAGATGACCATCAGTAGCTGTAATAGAACTAAATTCCCAGTGTGCAGAAGAGACGGAACTTCAGCTGACCAGTTTAAAGCTGACTGTATTAGAACTGAGGCAGTAATTTTGTCAAACAATTAAAATGTTCAAAGCTCTGAATCCATAACAAAAGCTGTCCCATTAAGCCATTTCAAACAGTTCCCTGGCAGCTTTAAAATGCATAGGTAGCTCTTAAAGCCAACTGATTTGTAGTTGCCCATCATTTCTTAAATTAAATGTAGTTAGTGAAAACTCGTGGACTTGACAGCACTGTCCAAGAGACTCAAAAATTAATCTGAAGATTTCATACTTAATTAAAAGTTTCAACTTTCCGGTTATACTCACAGTGAATAAGCCTTTGGGATAGGTAATGGCTTCATGTATTAAACACTGTGATGAATTCATTAAATGATAGTGGATGTAGTGCTGAAGGAAACTGCTTCTCTTGCCAAAACTTCATGAGAACAAAAGACAGACAGATCCTACGGTGAAATGTTTGCATTGTCTAACTAAATAGAAGTTTTATAATTGACAAATTTCAGTTGATTTTAACTACTGAATATTATTTCATTTATATTATTTTAAATCATTTCAGTGTTAGTAAACATACTGATGTTTACAGGAACAAAAAATATGGGTACTTCAGTTCATACTGAGTGATAAAGGGCATACAGAAGTTAAGTGTTTCTTTAATAAACTTTGCTAGGATCCTGGTAACTAGAAACACCTACCTAATTATGAAAGCCAAACTTTTGCAAATACAGGGTGAAATTCAAAGGAGGGGAGAATATGCTAAAATGGTAGCCTGCTGAATCTTAAACCAAAGGCTTATAAACAGTAAATTTTATGTTCGTCTTGTCTGTGCTTTGGGCAGTACAGGAGAGTTAGTGTTTGGATTGGAAGTGGCACATTAGAGTCATTAGGAGAATCTGCGGCATAAGTAACATAAATAATATCACCTGCTAGTTGCTCAGCATTTAATTTTTGCCTTTGTTTTCAAAATAAACAGGTAGGGAGCCAAAGGTTTCTAAAACACTGCATGATAAAACTGCTAATACAGAGTTATGTGTTCTAGGCCTTGTTGCCCACCCGGCGCTGGTTTAATACAGTATTAGATGACTCCCATCTTGTTGTTCACTGTTACCTGTCCAGTCTTGCTAAAAGGGAAAAAGAGGGCCATCTCTTCTGCCAGGTAATCTTTAATGTTTATATTAATGAAGAGTTTCTCGATTCTCAAGTGAATGAAAATGTTTCTGTCTTTGTATTATGCAGTTGTGCCCTTTGAAAAGAGAGAAACTCTCTCTTCTGGTGTGTGTTCATTTTTAGTTGCATTGAAGTGTCTAAAGTAGCACAGTCCATTTCTTAGTTGGTTACATTCAGATAAACTTGGGTCTTGCCATCCAGAGGTGCTGCATGGAATTTTGATTCTTTTTTAAGGAAAGGTACTTTTTGGGACCAAAATCCTGCTACTTTATAATGCTGTTTTTTAGTTTATCAGCCCTCTGTATTTGTGCAGACATAAGCTACTGACAGGTGTTCATTTCTGCTGGTAAGAATTTATTCCAGGATATTTTTCAGAGCTGGAGTGTTATATATGCATTCCAGTCTCCTGGCTGGAGAGCTACAAAGGGAAATTTTCTGGCCAAGGGTTGTTAGAGCTGCTCAGTGGACCAGCTGTGCCTTTAGGGGAAGCCCATTAATTGACAGCCTACCTTCTCCTGCCTGGGAAGGGAACAAGCTGTAAAGAGGCAGCCCCTGGGTTTTAAATCACCTTTTGTCTAACCCAGGCAGGCTGGACATAGAGTGATTTAAAGTCAGAGGCACAGGAAAGCGGGGCTAGAGATAGCTTCACCAACCCTGGGTCCTGCCTCTTTGGCTTCTAAATTGCCCCAACTGGCAGTGCACACAGAATTTAAAGCCCTTGGGGAAGTGGGCAGGGTAGCATTTACAGTCTGAGGACAGGGTTAGCTTTCTCAGATCCTGTGGCTTTGTATTCCCCACCTCTGATTGGTGGCAACACCTTCCCTGTCACGGTTCCAGGTCCTGTGGGATTTGCAATACCTGCCTCTCAGCCCAGCTGGATGATGGGAATGGCATTTAAAATCCAGGGGCTGGGAACTGGGGAATTGCTGGGGCACATTCTTCCAGGTCTGGAACCCAGGCACATCTGCCTCCTGAGTGAATGTCACTAAATCATGCATCACTAAGTTTTGTGTGTCGTGTTTCAGGTTTTAGACTCTTCTCCTGCTGCGGGAGTGTGGCCCCCCGCACTTGTCCCACCAGTCACTGGTAGGATTGGGCAAGCTCCCCACAAGGCTCCCTGGTACCTTCCACCTGGATGGCTGTTAGGCAGCCAGTGATCTCCCTCCTTTCCTCTCCCTTGGAGGGAGAGAAGGAACTGTTGGATGCTTTCTGAATCGGAAAGAAGTGTTGGAAGAGGTAGAACTTCCTTGAGGAAGAACCATTTTTCTTTCACGTAAACCCCTTGAATGGATATATACTCCTTGTGCTAGGAGACAGGCTTTTCTCCCATACAGATGTAGCACCTATATGTGGCCATAGTGTTCCACATATTCCAAGAAGTTGTTGCTTATTTTCATTTCAGTTTTATTAGAGGGGTTCTTGAAATCCTACTTCAGTAATATAAAATTTGAATAGTGGCACTGTTAAAACTGCCCTCGCCAGCTTATAACCAGCAGGTAAATTCATTGTCATTTCATTGCATTTCTTATGCAACTATTTATAGATAGTACTGCTTAGTTATATAAATGAAGTTACTTTAAGATATATTTTTGCAGCTTCATCTCACTGCAACTAAGCTAAGTTTCCTGTAGGTTTATTTATGGTGCTCAAATATGGTGCATGGAAGTCTTATATTGACACCCTGCCCAGTCAGCATGTACTATTTCTCAAATCCCATGTACTGTAACTAGCTGCCTTAGTTTGCCTGTGTGTACTAATAAGCTCTGTTGAGAGGAAGAGGTTACTGGTGTGCACTCAGTATTATCCTAACATTACTACATTTTCTGGTTCATGAAATACTGTGCATGGAGCAGGTGTGGTTTGCTAGTACAGCATTGTCTTTATTATAATTGAACAGCACAGATGTAATCTGTGCAGCTGGTCTCTGCTTTAGCTTCTATATGAATGTCTTTGATAACCATTGCTTTTTAATTGTTATTAATTCAGTCTCTCTTGAAGGAGATGGCTACCTTAAGGCATGTGATTGTATCCTGCTTGTTAACATGTTTGAATGTTTCTGAGATGTATTTTTCCAGGGTGGGCTTGGTTTAAATCAGATCAATTTAAATCACTGGTCAGGAAACCTTGACTTAATCCTTGGTTTCTACAAAAAGTGCATTATCTCTGGAGACAAGTCCACAGTTTGAGAACTGAAACTAAGCATCACAGAGATGCTTAGTAGGATCTTCTAGACCAGGGGTGGGCAATAATTTTGGGCAGAGGGCCACTTACTGAGTTTTGACAAGCCATTGAGGACCACATGACAGGCAGTCCAGGGCAGGTAAATATTAATTTACTAAATTTTTTAGGGGCCCCGCAGGCTGGATAGAATGGCTTGGCCGGCCACATCGAGTCCCCGGGCCGCATTTTGCGCACCCCTGTTCTAGACTGAGCACTGAGTTCCATTGGGCAGAATGGGTTTCTTTCATCTTTACTAATCTATAGAGGAGCCTTGGGGAAGCCCATAAGATTGGGCCCCTAATATAGTCCATGGCCTGTTGTGATTTTTAAAGTATCTTAACAAAAGAATCAGAACATGATTAAATTTAAAAAATCTGATTTTAAATTTAAAAATCAATTTTTTGTTTGGGTTTTTTTTAAATCATTGATTTTTATCTACCCTGAATTGTCCTTCTTAAAATGATACTGTGTAATCAAATAGTACTTGAATAATTAATTCTTTATACAAGTATATCCTTTGTCTAAGGATTCATCTGAATAGCATTCAGTTTAATATGCCTGTGGACAGAAGGATAACATCTCCATATGGAGATCTATAATTAAATTGTACAACTCTGCATATGTTTGAACAGGTAGATGTTCTGGGTTATGCTGTGATTGCCTTAAAATGTAGTAAAGCTGTTAGATTAAATAATTTTCAAGTTATTTTTGACATTGCTAATCAGTCCGTTCAAGTGTTTTGTTGTTTTGCTTTAATGTCCACCTATATCTTGCTAAAAATGCATCTTCCAAGGTGTTTACATTTGTGAAGTTGTATTTAATCCCTTTTATTATAAGGGTCTTTTATTGCAGTTGTATACCCCATTGTCATACAATCTAAGTTGCAGTTATATACCCCATTGTCATACACATCTCTAAACTTCATGTACTTTTATTTCAGCTTTTGGATATGCTTAAATTCTATACTGGCTTTGAAATCAATGACCAGACTGGAAATGCTTTGACTGCAAATGAAATGACTACAATTCACTATGATAGAATTACTTCTCTACAGGTAGGTAAAAGCCTGAGTTTCAATTTTATTATTTAAACCTCAATTTGCAACCAAGGTTGTGATTCTGGTGTTCTTAGAAAGAAACTTCTTGGGTTTTTTTCTTGCTGTATTCAAGGAATAGTGTTTAAACTAATATTTAGTTTATATACCTTTACTCAAAGATCCTGAAGGCTTTCATTTAACACATTTCAAATTTTATGCACATAGATAGCCAGTCCGTATGTACAGATTAGTAGGTCTGTTTTTTGCTGTAAAACTACTCTTTCCAGTTTGGATCTTGTCAACTCATTAACTAACAAGGGTCAGTCACGACTATTTGGACTGAAAAGCTAGGTGCACTAGACAGTGATTATTCAATAGGTGGCACTTTCCTCAGCATAAGTGTGCTGTTAAAAGTGCTATCTTTCAGGTAGGATGTAAAACCAAGGTCCTCATTACCTGTGTTCATTTAAAGATGCCTTGATACATTTTTCATACAATTATAAATACAAATACTTTGAATGGTGTTAATTAGACCATGAAATTATTTCCCTTTAGGTGTTCACAGCAAGTCAGAACTGTAACCTCTAAGGTTCTTTGATTTTTTTTCATATCCATTTTTACTTCAAAAATCAAGAAACCTTGGTGGATGAAATCCCTAAGTTTTTTATGGTCTTGTCATATCTTGCTCAGATTTAAATTGCTATCCTTTGTGATGGTGTTTTCCAGCAGTATTGTCTAGCATTGAAATGCGTTTGGAAAAGTTGGAAAAGATGCACCTTAGTGAAGGAGGACGTAAAAACAATGAACATCTTCTTTGTGAACAGTTGGCTTTTTTTATTCCTCCTCTGGTAGTGCTTTCATATATGCAGGAAGATGCAGTTCAAGAATATTCATGTTTTGCGCCATTCTATTTTTTTACTGCTTGTCAATGTATTTTGCACTGTTATATTTGGACTTAATATATAGACAATGTTGGTTGAATATCTCACTGAATTTTGTGGGCATTTTTAGAGAGCGGCTTTTGCACATTTCCCAGAACTCTATGACTTTGCTCTCTCAAACGTGGCAGCGGTTGACACACGTGATTCGTTGTTGACGTTCTTTGGACCACTGAGGTAAAGCAACAAATTTAACTTTTCTTTTTTAAGTTTTGTCTGTCCTATCTTTTGGTTTTCCAGCCTCTGTCCTGCCCCGCCCCACCCCAGCTAGTCAGTGCCTATGCCAACCCCAGTCCCTCTCTCACTGCAGGAACCTCGATCTACTCCCCTGCCTGCCCCCACGCCCCTTCCCTTTTACCACAACAGACTAACCAGCTGGACACTACTCTACAAGCTGCCAGGCTATGTATTGGAAATCTGATTGCTTTCAGCCGATATGCCTCCTTAAAAATCGACTGTCAATATCAGCCCCAAGAATCTATCAGTACGCCTCTACTTGCCTCTGGCTGGGTGTCTTTAGGCAAATAGTTTGTATTGCTTTTACTTGGCTGGGGAGTCTGAGTCCTTGTATACACTTACTTGGGTTATGCTGAAAGAAGTTCTGACTGCAGATAGTGGCTGCCCCTGCAGAGCCTCCCAAAAGCTTACATATCCATGTGTTTCTGACTGCTCTGCAGTCCCACTGTAGCAGCTGCTTTAACTGATCACAAACGGCCCTTTGGGAAGATACCAGTTGCTGAATTGGCTGCTAAAGCCAGCAGAAGGAGCAGGAGTGTTTACATGCACTTTCTCACGGGCAGTGGCAGTAACTCCTTCAGTGTGGAAGAGATGGTATAAGCAGAAAATGGGAGTGTGGGGGGAGTTTGGTTATAGAAGACATGTACTCAAAAGTTTTTCATCAGAATGTTGTAGTGTAAATCAAGGATTCTCAGACCTAATTTATCTGTCATTTATCTGGAGGCCTTTAATCTCTTGACTACATTGGAGCTATGTGCAGTATAAACAATTATTAGTATGTAATTGTTTGAGGAAAAGTACCTGCATGTGTGTTTGCAGCATAAGGCCCCACAGCAAAACTAGGCATACCTCAAGACTTTTCTTGGGGATGAATGGTTAATAATTAGCCAAACATGAAGAATGATCTTGGTCCTAAGTTGTTGTTATATGCAGCATTAAGATCAGCAATGGAATTATTGATACCATGACAACATTTCTTGGTTGGGAGGTGGGGGAAGGGAGGGGAGATGTAAAAAAACAAACCATGTACTTGTTCCAAAAGTTAAGATGCCTAACCACTGCTATTGAATCAGTGAAATAATGATGACAATTAAAACCTTAACTAGAAAATTTGACTGTTTTTCTGTTCTTGTATCCAAAGTCTTTCTGAATGGTGCTCCCCAGCTGTCATTTTTTTAATCACTTTTATAATTGTGTAAATGCTACATTGATTTTTCATGGAAATTACAAGACTGCTTGACTAAAAAGAATTTATAAGCCATGCTAAGGCTTTTTTTCTTGGTATGTGGTTTTTATAGTTAGAGAACACAAGCCATTTAGGATGTTTTAACAGCTGTAAAAGTAAAAAATTACATAGCAACAACTTTTGTCTGTTTTTATTCTATGCAGTTCAAACACGCTCCACCAGGTGGCATCATACCTCTGCTTGTTACCAACTTTACAGGAAAGGGAAGATACAAGCTATGAAAAAGAGTTGCTGCTAGAATTGCTGGTAAACTACACCAGTGCTACTTGAATTTCTTATTTGTTTTGATTTTTTTTTTTTTTCCTCGACTGGAGTAAGATCACAAATACTGGCTGTATCTACACAAGATGCTGACTGCAGTCGTTGCTGTGCAGTCATAGTTTCTAGGGTCGGAAGGGACCTGAGCAGATCATTGAGTCCGACCCCCTGCCATGGCAGGAAAGAGTACTGGGGTCAAACAACGCCAGCAAGGTGTTCATCTAACCTCCTCTTAAACCCCCAGGGTAGGAGCCTCCACCACTTCTCTTGGAAGTTGGTTCCAGATCCTAGCCGCCCTGACTGTGAAGTAGCACCTCCTGATATCTAACCTAAACCTACCCTCTGCCAGCTTGTGACCGTTATTTCTGGTCACT